AGAATAAAATATAGATAGATGACTCTCTTTCTTTTTTTTTTTTTTTTGAATTTCTTATCGGAATTATTTCATTTCAACTCTTAAGCATATAAGAGAAGAAAGTTTTCATTGAAAACATTTGTTAAAAACATTCGTTTGGGCAGGATTTCGAAGAATGCTTTAAAAAAAAAATTGTCGCGAGCTTACATTTCGGCAGACAATTATTTTGCATTGCATGGATTAGTTAGTGTAGTCGAATCTCAATAAATTTTTTAGATCCTCGTTGATAGCTTTAATAATAATAATTTACTTAACTTCGATTATTAAATTGAGAGAATTTTTTTAAAATTTGTTCTTTAACTTCTCTTCCCTTTAATTATCCGCTTTTTCTGTAACATTCTGTTCGTAAGCTGACCGAAGGAATGTTCGCATTTAACTAACCCCTTGCAACAAAACATCCAGTTATTAGTTGATGAAATATTGCAACACAGCTTGTATCTGTGCGATACCGTAATAGCATGTAGATTGAATGGTAGGAGCGTGGGTAGTGGTGCCAGTGAAAACATTTGAACTAAGCAACGCTTTATCCTAACAGCTATGTGAACATGATTAGCGTTTTCGAGCAGGAGTTTGCAAATAGACGCTTGCATCAAACCAAAAGTAGGACAAGGTGAATGCATCAGGTCCCATTACCAAGAAAAAGTTGGAATGATATCAAGACTGCCATAAATGCAATCGTCTCAGTGCCGATGAGACTCGGATCTACTTTGAGCTACCACAGGCTCACAATTCAACTTCCGAGCGATATCTTGCTGGTCAACTGCCACCGGATATCGCGTGTAGCAAACGATAACCGAAAAAATGACGACCACTGCCTATTCTAGAATCCGATGTGAAAACACGTCTAACGTATTATGAAAGAAGAGAATTTTAAAATCATTGTAAGGCAATTTCGTAAAAGTTTACCCGTTTGGATCCTGGACTCACACGACATTTGTGATTCAACTTAGATACGTTTCAGTCTCGTCGCGTATAATCTTTTTAATACCGTTCATGTAGATAGCACTCTACACTATAATATTTATGTAATAACGAAACTGTACTTCACGATCTTAAAATACCTACATAAGCTCAGTATACGATGTGAAAAAGGAAAGAGACAACAATATACAGTTCCTAGAGCTAAACGATTCGCAGAAAGAGTTCAGAAAGAGTTTCTGTCTGGCTGTTTGAACGAATTTCGCTGCTGAGCATTCTTAATTTCACGGTATTAACGTAATCATGGGCAGTGTGATCAATGAAGACCACTCTTGCTTGACTTGGCTATATTTTCTTGCCCTTTCGCCCTTAGTGCTTTATATGAAGTACAGCAAAATAAAGTATAAAGTAATGCGTGGACTGAAATTTTACACAAATTTTTCGCATTTTCGAATTCTCGTTGATTTTATTGATATTCCACTAAAGCTTGCGATACAAATATTACTATTATTATTATTATTATTATTATTATTATTTAACTTTCTTTGGTAAATTGAAATGAATTAGAAACAAAAGCAAATATAAAGACTTTCCATGTAGACCTGAAGCGTTCGATGTTCGGTGATTATTTTAAAGTGAGTTTATAATCTGAAACTTTTAGGATCTCTTTAATTCTGCAAATTTTTTTATGAAAATCTACTCTACCACGGATTGGAAGGAGAAGAAAGTAGAAATATATAAAACTATTAACAATTTTAATAATATCTAAAATTCCAATGTACTCGTTGAGTTGCCCTGTTATTCGCATATAAATATCTAGGCAGTCATTAAACTTTTATTTTACCAATTTTCACTTTACAGCAGAAAGGATATAAACGTCACCAAAAAAGTAAAAAGAAAGAAAAAAAGAAATAAAAAAAAAAAAGAAAGAAAATTCAATCCTGACAACATGTGGCATGTAATAGTATGTAGGAACAGAGGGTTTCTGGGGGAAAAAAATTCCAACCAAAGTCCAATTAAAACTTAACTACATCCAAAGTACATACCGGAAAAAAGACAATAAAAAATTGAGTAGCAAATGAAAAAAACAGAGTGCGGCGTAGAAAATAGGAAAAGCAAAAAAAAAAAAGAAGAAAAGGGCAGATGTAGCCAAAAAAATGTTTAAAGCTAACAAAAATGCCAACATTGTAAATTGAAACCACTTCCGTTTAATTCTATTCATTCTCATCTGCAAGGCTTAGCAAAGGGTGCCACTTCGCAACTGATAACATGCACATGTACACGTAACGTAAAAATGTCTAAAAGCATTGATACGCAAAGTCAAAAAACCATGAATTTTGATTTAAGCAAGTGTAACCAGTTGGTGCCACTTTACACATCTACGTAGCCACCAATACCGTGTCATTGAGACTCTCGAAATCAAGGTGACAAACCGCGCAAATAAAATGGATTTGCAGCAAAAAAAACAAAATGTATATAATAAATACACACATATAGCACGAAAGGTCCGTTTAATTCCTTTTAGCGCGTATAGACAAGCTGTCGAACAATAAAGTATTAGCGTCACCAAAAGCTTAAAACAAAAAAAAAAAAACCAAAAAAAAAAAATGATTAAAAAAAAAAAAAAAAAAATAAATGAAAGCAAAAAAAAAAAAGGCAAAAGAAAAATTGCCAGAGAAGCATTTAATAACTTGTGGTATGTTGGCAATGGTTCTGTAAAGGATTTCCGTTCTTTTTTCTTTCACTCCTTTTTTTTTTTTTTTTTTTTTTTTTTTATAAAAAAAAAAGAAATTTTTTAAAAAAAAACACCCCCCAAAACCCCGGGTTTGTAAATGTTCGCTGTATACACATTCCCAGCCCCCCCCTCGCCATCGCCCAGCCACATCCATTTTGAAAATGTGTTGTGTGTATGTATATCAAGTAAAAGTATGCTCAGACGACCACACAATATACACACGTTCCTTAGCAGCTTCTGTAACGCGATTTGGATACGAAATTTTACTTACTCCCTTGTACGTTAGTGAAGTAAAAATAGCTATCAGCTATCATTAACAAGACACAAATTAATATCAAAATATTTATATAAAAATATTCTTCAAGTAGTAAAAGATGAAAAGAAAGCAAAATTCTTGTGCGGTCATAGGGAAGAAGACATCAAAGTTAAAGCAATTTCAAGTTATCACCGCAGTGAGTAACATTGGCTAACTAATTTAACTAATTCTCTACTCATCAGTAACTGCTGCATATGCATCGAATAAAAAATTATTTACTAGTGAATGTGAATAAATTTTTGCCGGGTAAAAAACGAAAAAAAAAAAAAAAAAATTGATATTAACGTGAGGTCTAAGTGAAATCACAATCTCACGATGACATAAATCGCTCAGGTTGTGTTTTCGACGCGCGTAGGCGTTTGGGAAGATTTATGAAAAAAAGAAAACAGAGAAGAGAGAAAGTAGAGTTTTTGCGTAGATATGACTTGAAATTGGAAATATTTGGACCTGACGGAGATATTCCTGGATGTAGATTAATTAGTTGGCCACAATTGACTACATTTTTGGGTAAAAAAAGAGGGTATACCGCATCCACTAGGAAGAAAGGATGGACTAAATATGGGTCACTGAACCGATCTAAGGGCGTCTATGCGTCTTTCCGTCATATATTCTTGTGTTCCACGCACAAGTTGCAATTTTGCAGACATTTTGATAAACTTTGTTGATAAATCGACATCTTTTGGCCGAAGGACAAGCGCCCTAGAAAACGATTCGGATCAAATTGGTTTTTCCACGACCACTTTCGTTATAAAACCCAATTTTGAAGAAAACACTATATGAATAACTGAGTTAAACGATGCCTTGTACGGTATTTAATCCCAAGTTGTAGGTCACTCTAGTGTTTTACTTGTTTTCTCATATATTTAGAAGTTTGTGCGGAGTGAGGTCATAGAATCGCGGCTAATCTTAAATAGGTTCGGGTTTTGTGCGTTCGTGCATTCGTTTATGCATTCATTTAAATTCTCCAAGAATTTCTAAATAAGCTTGCGACTAATTTGTAGGATTCTTTAAAAAAAAGATATGTAAAGCTATAGGTATCTAATCTTTAAATACAACGTTAAAGTATTATGCCAGGGGTTGGTCGAGTCTTTTCGGCCTTTTAGATCACTGAATACATTTCAGCTATTTTTTAGATAAAATATCTTATGCTATTTTTTTTTTTTTTTTGTCTTCTTTAGTAAACGTTTCAGTTTTACTAAGCAATCACACAAGTGTTGCATTCAAAATATTTTATGCTTTATGCCACAACACATATTGGATTGTGGAAAATAGCACGTTTGGTTTACCTCGAAGGCAATTCTTGTTCAAGATTGGTCTGCTTTCCTTTTGAAAGAACTGATTATCTGTCGTAGACCAAAACTTTACTGCAAAAAAAAATAAGCAGAGAAAAAGTCCCCGCGCATTCAACGTGAGGCAAGTTTATTATTAACGAAACGCGCCAATTGTTTGTTCATAACTTTGCCCATTTGAGTCTCCTAGAACGTTGAACCCTATGTAATAGGACTCGTATTACTAAACTTTTACATGGTTGCGTATGATCGTTCCGAAGTATAAACAATATGAAGATGTCGAAGCTAGTGAGGAGCATTGAAAAAAATGCGAAAAATTAATTTTATTCTTAAGCAATTCTCTATTCGCTACGCATAGCAGAGATTCGTTTAACTTTGCAAACTGTTTGCAATACGAGAAGAAGATCAGAGTTTTTGCGAATTGAGATATTGAAATCAATTTTATCAAATGTCACCATCGGATTCGTACCTGTTCATTGACCTATTCATAGCGCAATGGCGTAAGAAAGAAAGAAATTTTGAATTGAAAAATTTGTATAAAATTAATTAAAATACCAAACATTTATTGCTATTGTTATTCATTATTTCATGTTTTTTCTCTTGCAGAGCTCATTAGTTACTTCGGCCGAAAAGAGAGAGCGGAAAAAAATTTAAAAATCTATCTGAGAATCAAGTAATACGTATTTTTTTCGATATTATCTGCAAGAAAATAATTTGCAAAAATTGTGCGCTTTAAACAAGTAACGATAGGCCCGAACGGCTGTTTTCCGTATACGGTAACAAATCATCCACAAATTAAAAGCAACAATACGAGCAACCACAAAATGCATCTTACGACGACAACAAATGGTAGCGGCAATGCCGCCAATACCGCATCCTCTAATAACAACAATAATTCAAATAATAGCTCATCGAATTCGAACGCCAACAACAATAATAATTCAAACGGCGGTAATAATAATAATAATAATAATAATAATAATGAACAGAATACTCCACCCACAGCTGCTCAGCTGCTTAATGAGGCGTACACTAAAATGACATCAGATATTTTAGCTGAACGCACTCTGGGCGATTTTTTAACCGAACATCCCGGCGAACTGATACGCACAAGCAGTCCGTTATTTGTTTGCACAGTTTTGCCTCCGCATTGGCGTTCAAATAAAACGTTACCAGTGGCTTTTAAGGTCGTCTCGCTTGGCGATATTATGGACGGTACAATGGTCACGGTACGAGCGGGTAACGATGAAAACTATTGTGCAGAGCTAAGAAACTCAACGGCGGTTATGAAAAATCAAGTGGCAAAATTTAATGATCTCCGATTTGTAGGACGCAGCGGCCGAGGTAAGTGTACGTGGAAAATATTTTCTTATATATTATATTTAAAAGTAGTTCGGCATCAATCAATCAATCAATACCTTTTACATTAAATGATAATTGAAAAAGTGTAAACTTACAATTAAATATAAAAATTTTTTATATATTTATTCCGATGTCGTAATGAATCCACGTCCACTTTTCAACATAAGACCCGATCGACAATGCAGCAAAGAATTCTTTCATTATTTCATTGTTACTATTAAGTTGTGTTATTGTGAAAATTTTCATACTTTTTATTATTTTGTGGGCGTGGCTAAAATTTTTGTATTTTTGTAAAATAAAAGTAAAAATATATCTCGTCGATCGGTTGTGGTTTGTGATTAATGAGCAAAAAATATGGAAACCAAAAGTGTTCTGCAATTTTTGTTGCATTGTGGGCGTGTCGTTTGACCGCCATTGGGGCATTTTCAAATTTGTTTACAAATTCTCAGGCGATATTTTCATTTTTACAAAGATGGGAATGTTTACCACGGATATTACACAGTTTGGCAGACGGTCAGACGGATAGATGGGATTTTTCCGGATAGATTATTCCTGTAGGCGTTATAAAGATTTTGAAAAAAATTATTGAAAATTTGATGCACTGTTACATTGAATAGGCGTGGCCTATTTATTCTGTCTACTGTAGAATTATTCTTACTCTTAGTTTTAAAAGTTTATCTGCTGCACTTATAGGTAAGGAGTGAAAAAATATTTCCCTTTTTCCCTTCCAGTAAACAGAGGTATGTTCAGTTTACGTTGTATTGAAGGGTTAGCCTTCGAACGATTTACACCATTTTTAATATCAATCTGCGTGCCTGAGTTTCCAATGTTTCTGTAAAATGTGCAGACGATATCTTAACTTTTTCAACCAGGGAAGTATTTACTACAGTTATTACATAGACGGACAGTCCGACGGACATAGACGTGATTCAGAATTTGATGTATGTGCTGATCTGAAATATATATATGTTCTTTCTGGGAATTTTTGAGGCATCCTTGGGTGGTTGGGTGGTTTAAACGTTTCTTTATAAAATGAGCATAGTCCTCATCCCTCGATGATGGCGATGAAAGTAAGTAAAGCCGCAGAAAATCTGTGAATTATATAAGTAAAAGACTTCATTCTTAGGACTGCTAATACGAAAATTTCTTTCTTTCTTTTCACTTTCAATTATCATAATTTACATAAAATGCTTTGTCTGGCTTTCTCTCTTTCTAAAGAATTTTTCCATGTTTAGAAAGTTTTTATCAGATCTGGCTTTTTTGTTTTTATTGGTTAAACATTTAAGAATGTTGTTTTTTTCCGCGTTTTACCTAGTGATGTTGTATATTAGCTATAGCTATATAATGAATTAAAACTAATTGATCAACTATTATAATTTTCATGATGGAAAGAAAAAACGTTTTTTTTTTTTTTTTTTTTTTTTTTTTTTTGCAAAGTTTAACTTGATTCGTCAATATGGCGATAAAATTACTTCTGTCCCTGAAAATACGTTTCCATCTCTGGAATGATCCTCTCACTTGGTGTGCATATCTTTTTACCTGCAGCATACTTTTCAAAGAGGTTATGTTCGATGGGGCGCAGGTTCCGGACGACAATATGGCGAAGGACGCATACAATCTTGATACGATGCGTTTCTTTCACTGTTAGTAAATGTTGAAGCCGTTCGGAAAATCGCTTTCTCAAGTTCAACTTTTCATGCAACATCGTGACGGCATTGCCTTCCGATATCTGAAGCTATTTTAAGCCATCTCTTAAAACTTCAACTTTGGATTATCAGGAATAGTTTTAGGTGGTAAACCATCGGCAAATTGCTTCCGAGAGAGAAAAGCAGTCATAAAACTTTTCATTTCAATGGTGTTTTTAAATTTAATTTTTTCGTATCAAGAGGGTTCAGGATAATCTGCAAAACAAATCTGGATTTTTTCATTGTTTCGAAAATGACAAAATTATTTATTAAAATTATCGTTTAACTTTTCTCCAGCGATATATATATATATATTTATTAAAATTCAGACAAAGATATTCGTGTTTTCATTGAATTTTCTTTTTAGATTTGCTGGATTTGAAAAGAAGAAGAAGAAGAAGCAATTAAGGTTTCCAAGTAAATTTTGAGAAGCTCATAAGCTTAGTTTAGAAATATTTCCTTCAACTTTGGTTCAATATCGAGCGGTTTAATCGATAGTAAGCCTTTGAGAATATATAAAATTGCCGCGTTTGTGCCTTTCACTCTTCATTTTTTAGAGGAAATACTCCTCCATAAAAGCGATGTTTTCAAATTTTTGCTCACAACACATGATCTCTTATTAACTCGTCCTGTGGTAACGATGTCAACGTCTTATCATATATATAGATATATATATATATATATATATATAGTGGCTCTTCAATAAGCCTTTAAGAGTTTTTTACGGTATTTCAAGTAGTAAGGCAAACATTTTTGTTGCTTCATATGTATTTTTCTTTATTACGTTTGTTTTTCTCGAATTTATTTATTTATTTTTTATTTTTTTTTTCGTGAAATATTGTATTTCTCTCTTTTTTCTTGTTTTTTTATTATATATATATATATATATATATATATATATATGTATATACACTTGAAACTTTTTGCCATTTTCAATGAAACATTTCTCGGTCTCTCATTTATATGCTGTTGGATAACTTTTTTAATGAACTTTTGTGATAAGCACAATAACTCTGAGTTGTCCGAAACAATAGCCAGAAAAAGTTGCCAACAAAATTGCATTAATTCCTCAAGATCAAATGGAGCAACGGATAAATGTGAAAATGTGAAAAAAAAGAGGAGGGAAAGAAACAGACAGCAACAAAAAGTGTAAATTGCTGCGTGTTATTTTGTTAAAAAACACTAATGGTTTCAGTTGTTGTGGCTCGAGCCGAAATGAATAAAAAAAAAAAAAAAAAGAGAAAAATAAAAAAAAGAAGAAGGACAACTAAAAAACTCTTAAAAAAGTGCGGTGGGCAGCGATGTCGTGTAACAATATTGTTATTCGTTGGGTTAAAAAAAAAAAGAAAAAAAAAAACAACGACGAAAAGTATTTATTCAGAAATTGTTGCTGCATACAAACGAATTCATGTCAAGTTGTGGAGTGTTAAGTGTTTTGTATTGTTGTTGAGATTGTTTTACAAAAACAATGAAACACAAAAAGTTGCTCAAGTGTTTCTAGAGCGCATATTAACGGGGAACTATTCAAACAATAATAATTTTGTTGACACTTAACAAAGTGCAGAAGATAAAAGCTAATTAAGTTTAGTTCTATTAAGGAGATTATGACTTCCATTTAATGTCGTCCCATTATATTGTTTTCGTTTTTGAGATGGTCGCAGCAGGGTTCGTAATACGCGTCGAGACATTACATATACAGATACTTGACTAGGAGCGAAGTCACTTTGCACGGAGTTGAAGAAAACCTGACAAGTTCAGATACAGTGTTTTCTACTTCTATTTCTACTTCGTCTGCGGATAGATCACGGTCTGCATAAAACCCGTAGTACTTTACTTTATTTTAAAGAACGACTACACACCAAACAGATGGTCGGGTAGCTTAAGCGACTGTAGACCGCTTCTATCATTCTAGCGTAGATCTTGTTCCAAAAGTTTTATTCATTGATTCATTTTATTCACGGCATTAAGTTTCTAGAAGAATTGTTCCGTTTTACGTACGCTAATAACCCACCAAGCTTATGTTAAGTAAGGTGAGGCTTTTCATCGCACCTTTACAAAACTCAACGGAGTATGTTATGTGTGTAACTATACTTCTATCGTTTGTTTTTCTGTTCAATATTCGGGACTAATCTAAACAAAATAATACGTAGTCCGACGCACTATTTCTCTCTTGGGTGTCTCTCTTGGGTATCTTGGGTATCGTCATAAGACACGGAAGCAATGTTCGAACAAATAAATAGTAAATCTCGTGTTAGTTGGAAGCAGCGATATGTTTACTTATAACATTGGGCAGGTTGGGAATGCAAGCAAACTTTTCCTCTGTGTAGGGCGGAAGTTTCCTATGCTAAAACCTGACGATCTCATGACTTTTGCCATATATATTTTTTTTTTTTTTTCAACACACAACTACATCTATTCAAATCTCCAAGAAATGATGTTGTAAACGCTTCACTCTGATGATTTTTACAAGAGCGTAAGCAGTACCATAAGCGCTTTGCATAAGATTAAGCTCTACTTCGATTTGGATAAGAAAATGATAGTAGTAATTAAAGATGCCTTTACGGCTAACGCTAACAAGTGTTCAGCAAATGGTCTAACGCTTCAAGTCCTGCTTGCGACACTAAGCAGTAAACGGAAAATCTTCTAAACTAATTTTGGGTTTTGGGGAGTTAAGGTTCGAAGTTCAATAAAGTGGAATTTTTGTTTTTTCCTTCTCTATTGGAAAGATTGCTTGCGAAGCTTGGGAGTGGCCAGCAGTCAAGTTCGTCGAACTTTTTCGCGTTTGTAAGATTTTTCGCACTAAGATCTCGTAAGATAATCTAAATCTAAATATTTTAAGAAATTTCATAAAGTTATCTAAAAAAACAAAAACAAAAAAACAATAATCATGCGTCTACTCACTTTGAAGACTTTCTTCTCAAAATATAAAAAGCATTCACTCTGCACTGTACAGATAAATTACTACCTTTTCTGTAATGATTCTGTTTGGTTTGAATTTAAGGAAAGCCATTACTTTACAACAACGCTTTGCAATTTGCAAAAACAAAAGCAACAAAAAAAAAAAAAGAAAGAAAGAAAGAAAAAACAACCAAAAAACGCATACACAGAGAAGTCTTACAGTAAATGCTGTACAAAAATGTTTGTGGCCTTCATACTGATTATTGTTAGAGGTCTCTTTGTACGACCGCTTCCTAGCATTACCTTCGTTTCATGGAATACCGTTGAAAGACTACTGGTAAAACAAACATCAGTTTTATTTAACTTCCAAATAAATTTGATGCCTTCAATACTTTACAT